ACTTTGTTCACGTATTCCTGCCACTTCAGACATCGAGTTATCTGAAAAAGTCATCGAAAAAGAGCTTCCAGGGAAGAAGTTGCTGCAAATCCCTGAGCTGCAGGTAATTGGGACGTCATCGTATACGGATAGGATTGTGATCTGGTCGATTGACTGCCGTCCAGGAGTGAGAATTGTCCCGAAGATCGCGTACTTTGACGTCTCGACAAGGCTTTGGGGGTTCAAGGATGTGAGTTGCTTCCCCCGTGTACGATGCTGAAGACCTTGGCGTTGAAATTTGAGAGTCAGCCTTTAGGCTCTCCTCTTTTGCCGCTTGGCTCTTTTCTGCTCTCTCTCTAAAGGGCAGTGGCTTTCTCGTTCTTGGCACCACTTTCGTTTCCAGTCAGTCTGTTAAAAATTAACATAATCCTCTATCGCATGTCAGCAGCCATACTCGAGGACGTTTAATGGGGTCAGGATGACATTTGGTAAAGTTTGCGTTTCTTGTGGGTAGGACTGGCTCGCGGAGCTCATATACAATGCGCAGAATATACCTGCTATGAAGGATAACATCACATGGCGGATTGTTTTGCACCAGAAAGTGAAAGAAGTTGCTGAGCGCACGTTAGTTTCTGAGTACCAAGTTAGTTTTGGCCTGTCGGAGAGGTGTGAATTGCGTCCCCATCGCCTCGATTTATTTCCCGGCCCTTCAACCTCATCGTATGTCTCATTCGTTCTTTCCAGGATCCTTTTATTAGTCCAGTTGTGCTGTAGTCCGGTGTCGAACATGACTTTGGCCACGATAACCTCGGCTCCTTGTTTTGGTTCGACGAAAGGAAAATCACCTGGGTACGGTCAAGTCTCTGGGTCGGCCCATGACTAGCTGATTGTATTGCTGAGCGAAGCTCGTCGATGATTCGGTCCGAAGTCTCTCCCTCCACTGATAATGAGCTGATTCCCAACAACCTTTGACCAGTATCTGCCGATCTCTGTTGAATACCATTGTCGGATGCTTCCCCATCCGTTACTATACGTGACTTTCGGAGGATCACCGGTCGCAAGAGACCGATTTACTAGGTCCTTGAACAGCAAAATCGTCAACATGTATCACAAAGTGTTTGAGCAACACAGCTCTGTTAGAATCACTGGTGACAGTGTCTCTCCTGGTATCTGGATGCTTCTAACTTGCTCCAAGATCTCTGTCACGAGAAATAGGTGAGACTGATGCTGCCCATAAGGAGTGGTTCACTTTTTGTGACAATCTCATATTCTCGGTGTTGTTCGTACTGCTAACCAGGGCTTAGAAAGCTGATATCTTTCGGCGACGGGCGGGCCGCTGGGGTGAATACACTTTACGTCTATAGCGTGGCTTCTAGAGATCCGGTATGCGTGTACTCATCATCTCAGACCTAAAGCTTTCATCCTGATATGAATATGAGATAGATATTGAAGTGTTGAATCGGAGGAATTTCCGTCTCTATTTGCATAGACTTTACTACATTGAGCCCCCTATTTCTCGTATACAATTGAGATTTTCGCTTGATCGGTTATGATCAACTTCGACAGAGCGCAGTTTACATCAAATATGCATTTTACCTTCCTCGGCCTGAGACTGGCGTATAATGTGTCCCGTCCAGTACGGGACATTAATTGGTGTCACAATATAACGGTCCTTCCAGAGTCATCCAGGCAAACCCCTAAATCACTTACTAAGGCTCAGCAGCAACTCGATAACTCCGGCCTTACAGGGAGACTTTAGACTCCAGGAACGGGCTGGCGCTCGTCAATAACTTCATGCGTATCGTTGGGGGCGGTTCATCGAGAGGTTCGTTCGTGTTCGGGGAGTTTTTATTCTCCCCGCGGCATCCACGCTTCCCCCAATCGATCTCTTGAACTTCAAACAAAGCGCGTTATGGGCAGATAATCTCTATCAAGAATGCCAACCCGGATCAGATCTAAGCGTCGAGGACTCGTACCCTCACGTTTGAAGTGTTCACTTCACATGTGATCAGCAGGGCGGTACTGCCGAGACTGCCACAACTGCCACGCACTTCATCTTAACTCCCACTGCTATTACTTTAGATGGAGAGCCTTCGTAGTCGCATCTTGACTTCTCACCTAAATGAAAGGCAAGAAGTCAAATATCAAATCTCGGCCAAATTTCCCGCCTGTTAAAGCTGTGTCCCAACTTGTGGTGCAGGTTTTCCTAGACTTTCGTGATACTGTCTTTCTCGGCTCTCACACTTCTCGAGAGGACATAATAACATCCAGTGTCAGGTCGATCAAGCACACATGCAACAAAAATTGAAGATTTACCGGCACCGATACCGAGAAGAAGGGCCATGATCACCCACTAACGAGCGATCTTCAAGATAAGCACTCCCTCCAGCAGATCAGGAATGCACAACACCACACACTCCCGGATTCCCCAGTGTCTTTTGAATCAGCTGTCTGACAAGAATAGCGCATCATCCCATCTTTCCTTGAAACGGCCCCCAGAAGCGACACAACCTCCACACACACACACACACACGGGGACAGGCAAGAGACAACCTTGAAAACTTGCAGAAAATCTCCACGAGCACGTAATTCCCCAAAAGGGCCCCCGTTTACCGCCATGCAGACTGCAGTATCATAGTATGTGGGCGGCCTCTATAACGTCTGAAGCAAGAAACATAAGATCAGCCCCCAAACTTCCCATCTTGCGCCCGCCGCAGTGGACATGGAAACACGGCACAGACACACCACTCGTCGTCGGCAATTTTTGTTCCCAAGTAAGCGATGTTCCGGCAGTCGGTGGTCCGCCTCGCACACACTCGTTACGCGAGCCGATGACAGAACCGCATCTCCACCTTCTTCTCGAAAGCCCCGGTGCGGTGGTGGGTTGACCCCGGGGCCGGTTACGCCGGGGATGTTCATTGTCTGGGGGGCGCAGTCCTCCTGCCCTCCGTTCCTCGCCCGGCTTCCCCTGGCTGACTTTTATATCCTCCTTAAACCTCAAGGTCCTCGTAGTTGCGGCTTTTATCCATGGGCTCGTAGATCCGTATCATACAATGTTCCATATAACCTATACTCAATCATCTACTAATGCGTGCTGTAATTGTGAACCAAACCAACCGATCCTCAGATCCAAACTCTTTTTCGTACTCCTATCCGAATGCGATTTCTTCGGACTATGTGATGTGTAGGATGTGCGGCTGCACATTGAATGCAACCATTTTGAGTCCCGAATTCTTCGGATTTCTGGTTCTATCCAAAGCTACATTGATGAGCGTGTGTTGGGTAGACATGCATTTTGCCACTCGTCTCATCTCTCGGCTCCGTCACACCATCACTGAAGGGCACCACCCGAACTCCAAGACCTGTCAAGAGGGAAATGCCAAGTCAAACTTTCCACAATCTTTCTCTGTACATTCCCAAGCTATTGAAGTTCAACGTAGATTGACATGGTCAATAAGTGAGTCAGATGCAGGTACTCCAAGATCATGAACTCCTCCTCCAGGCTTCTACACGAGCAAAACCACGCACTGAAATGATGACAAACGCACCAATGAGGACCGCGAAAGATGTGAATTACAACCCGACTCCATCGCTCTTTTGTCATCGACAATCATACCTCATGAGACGTCGCGGCAAACTCTATTCTCGTCAACCCCTGTATCCCTGTCCATCCCTCTCACACATGCAGACAGGGCCGTCGGCAACGACATCCCTTCTCGCTCCCTCTCTCGAGTCTCATCGAGGTCCCTGCGTCTAATCCGCCCACTCACACACGACAAACACCCTTCAGAACACCATCCCGGACTCTGTCTTGTACGAGCAGCAAGGCCTCTGATCTATAATGCGCGCCACTGCTATGACATCAAAGTCTGCTATGCTCTCTTTTCCCTTTCCCAAGGTACTCCGCATTTCATCTCGATCATTGATCCGTACCCGTCCCCAGCATGGATGATGGCGAATGATCGACCTATCCGGATAAGAATTCAATAGCAAGGAAGTCCATCTCTGCATTCCCGCGTCTAATTCGCGGAGTAGCGGCAATGACAAAGGCACACTGAACGATACTCTGACCTGACTAACATCCGTACTACGCGTGAAATCCAAGGCCTGCCGTCCCTCTTTCCCGCCCTCCAACGTCACATCGAAGCACAACGAGAGCCGCAGAGCGCTCCCCTGCCGATCATTACCCTACCTTGAAGCAACGGCTCAAGACGTGCTCGGTCCCTCGAGGAGTCAAGTCTGTCCCCTGCCGTCTTGGAGAGTCGACATCCACTTACAGTACTACCCAGTAACAAAGCCATAGGGCGCAAGCACGTGTTGGTGACCGGATCAAGAAGGCCGGTAAACCACATCCCTCCATTTCCCTTCCCCCCTTCCTGTCTCTGACGGGTCATCACTGCTCTGTACTTCGTACACACCGTTTGGGTGGTCGGTGATCCGGTCGGATACGCTTCCGATGACAGATCCCAACGCTCTGGTACCCCTCCCACCTTGCCTCGTTAGCGTCTTCCATCTGTCCTCTAGTCAGCCTCGTCCTCCGTGATAGTTGAGATGTCGTGATGGCTGCTGTCAATCAACAGGCCCTAGTGTCCATCATCGTTGTTTCCCACGCTAGTGTCCTTCCCCGTCCGAGCTCTCGTTTTCCTACCAAGGCATGGAGATCACAGATAGATGGCGGATAGGCATAAGTCACGTCAAAATAAGTCACCTATTATCGCGTCGCCCGTCAGTTCACACGAAAAGAAATAGGCAACTAAAGTTCATAAAAATAGATTTCTCATGAGCCGTAAACTAGAATGAAAATGGGGAGTAAGAAAAGTAAACACCCCGCTATCAAAAGTATCAAGGTATCACCACCGTACACCATCCGTCCCTATTGTCTTTTTTATACAAATCCACGTCACCATGTCTGTATAGCTTGTCTCGTGCCAAACCTCTAATGCCAAGTTGCCAACGACCACCAGTTCCTGTCTCTTCCGTCCACTACCTCTTCATCTCATGACCCCCAAAGACTACCGTGACTACGGCAGCTCATAGAGACTCTTCTTCCTCCCTTGCGGCTCAGCAACAACAATCGCCTCCTTGCCATCAATCTCCGCCATCTGATAATTCCCGCCCAACCCGCCCGGGCTCCCATCCCACTCACTACTCGCCCTCCTCACAGTCATCATCCCAGGCGTCGCCGACATGTTGTACGTCCCCGTCCCCATGGAGCCAATCGTCCCCGTGCCCCCATTGTGATTCATATTGTGAATGTTCATCCCCCCATACGCGATCCGACCCGTATTGGACCTCGATATATCGCTCGCTCCGCTGCTACCGCCGTAGCCGCCATTGATACTTGACCCATCAAGCTCCACGGGTCCCCGACGAGACCTCTCCTTGCGAAGATAACACATCACGCCCACCGCCACGAGCAGCGCACCACCAACACTCGCACCAACGCCGAGTCCCACGACAGCCACGTTCCCGATGCCCTTTTGTCCGCTATCTCCACTGCCGGAATTCGTATCCGCCGTCGGCTGGCTGGCTTCCGCGCCGCCAGGCGTGGCAGGGATTTTGCTCGTCATCGTTGGCACGGCCGTCATCTCGGGCGTCTGCTGCGAGGGATAATTGCTACCGCCCGTGATACTGGCGCGACCTGATCCCGAGGGTGTGGGCGTAGACTTGGCGCCGGTGTTGAGGGTTTGGACGGCGGCGGCGTTGCCCGGGGTCGCGGCGATGAGGGGCCCGAAGATAGCGGGCGGCGTGGAGCAGCATCTCGTCTTTTCTGCGGCGGATTCGCAGCAGAACTTGCCGGGTACGCCGAAGCCTTGGCTGTCGCATTGCCATACCTGGACACCGTTGAATCTGAAGTCGTATGCCGTGTTGTTTTTCCTTGTGTCGGGGTCTGTATTCATGTCAGTACTACTGCTCGGTCATGTACCCAAACACCCCCTCCATCTCGGAATCACCAGTCTCGGTCCATGGCCTTCCTGAAACCTCTCCTCCCCTGTGTCTTCGGAAAAGAATGTGAAAGACTTACTCAACACGCAATGTTGCGGGCAAATCGGACTCTGCCACGTCGGATCCGAACACGTCCCTCTCGCATACGCAATACCCGTGTTATTCGACGTATCCTCAAGCTTGCACAACCCATTGCTTAAACACGCATTCACGCTTCCGCAGCACATGCTGACCTCGGCCTTGGGATCGCACGGCACGTCGAGACTCTGCACGCCGCCGGGGAAGAAGCATAGATTCGCGGCGGCCCGGACGCCTGCCACGAAGCCGCTGCTGCTGAGCAGCGTGAGCAGCACCGCCTTTGTTGCCGTCGTCTTCATGGTTGCTACTGCTTGTGTATAGGACAACCTGAGTCCCTTTTGAGGAGGTTGACTAGGCCGATGGATCCGTTTTCCCAAACACGCTCGACCCAGCTTATACGAGTGGCGAACGAAAGTCGATTCAATATCGAGCAAGATGTGTAGTCGAGAGAACCAGCCTCTATTGCAGCGTAACAGTCGTAAACAGTCGTCCAAAAGAGCCGCAACGTGTCGATCGCACAAGACGGGGATGTGTGATGACGAAAGGAACAAAGTCTGAGGCTCCGGCCCCCAAAAGGCTAGTATGTTTGTTCGGGGAAGGGAGGTCGAAATGGGAAGAGAAAGTCCGACGGCGAGTGAGTTGATTATGAGACGAAGGTAGTAGAAGGAGGGGGGTGGGTGATGTTGGGAGGAGAGTAATATGAGCGTCTGCCAGGTAATAGCTGGGCTATTGGGTGGTGTGCAACGTGTTTGAGGTAAGGCGACAACCTTCGCTCTTTCTCTTCCAAGAGATTTCGAAACAAGAACCAACTTTGAGAACACGGAAGACCAGACGGAGCAGACCAGTAGCAGAGAAGGGCAAGATAAGTAATAAGAGGCTTCTCGATCCTCCCCCGTAGGATTAAGATTACCTCCGCGAGAAGGCGTAGCAATAAAACCAACAAACTAGAAATGAGTGAAGGGGCGTTTGGATTTCGTAGAGAGAGGGAGAAAACGTAATCAACACGTTCTCATCTTCGAACAGAGGAGTAAGGGGAGAAGGAAAGCAGGAAGCAAACAAAAAAAGGAGCGAGAAGATAGTTGCAAAGAAAGTCCGAAAATCTTCCTCCCAAACGAACGAGACAAGGGCGGCGCAGCCACGCCTTAAGAGAAGTCACATATCCCAAACACCCCCCCCCAAACTCCCTTCACGGTACTTCAGATCCGTGCTTCCTCTCCACCCAGAGTTCGCCTTTTGGGATCGGTCTCGTGAAGAAAAGCTGCCCAGGAGCCAGGAGGGGAGGGGGAAGATGTCTCCACGAACATCTCGCCGGCAGCACGCCGACCCGGGGGGGTCATGCTACCATGCCACTTACAACTCACAGTCTCTCACAGATGATGTGTAGGTAAGCCACAGCTGCACTCAGACGAGAACCACGCAGGAAAAGAAAAGATGGATCCCATCCTCCCAGGGCCAAGCCGTGTTGCTTGTCCTGCAGCGCCCAGCGTCCCAACTTTGAGGGAAAGACTGGGGTAGAGGGTAGACGATTGACTCGTCCCAAGAGGGTCCCAAGAGGAAGGCCCCCAGACTTGGCCTGAAGAAGCAGTCAGGAAGACATGGTTTGCCTGTGCCCTGAGTCTATCCGTACGTCTTGGTCTTGGGAAGAGAGAGAGAGAGAGACAGAAAGAGAGAAGAGAACCAGGGATCATGGTCCAGCAACGGGTAACGCCGTAGCGGTATCTGTGGACTACCCAGATGGAACCCCCCCATCATCCATGGCTAGTTTCTGCCCAGCAAGGCCAGCCATCGTCAATGCCGCTCATTCAGCAGCTTTTCCCTCCCCTCTCGCACAAATGCCTATGTAACTGTGGCATTTTCAGGGTCCATGACTCGCCGCAAGGATTTCTGCTGCCCAGCTGCAGCCATCCGCCCCACGCGCGCGTCTGGTTTCAGGTTATCTGCCGCTGCGACTTGGCTGACCTGGCCGAACGAAACTGCTTCTTTCCACTCAACTCATACACTGTTACTCCGTACGGATACAGAAAGATCATACCTTGATGGAGCCTGAAGATCAGGTACTACCATGTCTTTTGAAGACGTGCTGCCTTGGTCGGAATCTCCCACCCAAGCAAGGATTCCACGGGCCATTCTCAAGAACACACGGACAACAACACAACTGCCATCGGAAACCTCGAAAGACTCATATTCCTCGTCTTCCTCCCGCACTTTTTTATCCCCATTCGATCGATTTCATTTTGTATCTGTACGAAGTATCCGTACTCCATACTCCGTACCCTTCTCCAGGCCTCCCTCCTCTTCAGCCGCGCCGGACATGGGTCCGTCGTAGATAGAGTCATGGTTTACACCGACCGCACACATACGGAGCTTGGCATCCGTAACCATATAACTCCACGGCCGAATCCACCTCACTCACACTCTTCCCCCTCCCCCTCCCCCTCCCCCTACCTCACCCAAGCGAACGTTCTTCAGAACTTCAGAAGTCCAGGACAGGGCCCAAGAAAGAGCGAGACTTTCTCCCTAGGCCTTGCCTTGTCTCGCTCTCTGGCACTCTGCAGCGGCAAGCCCAAGGTTCGCTCGCTTACGGTAAAGTATTGACCCCTCCCCTCTCTTCACGAGCTTACTCCCTGGCCGCTTGGCTTCGACAGATCGAATAGGCCGCATGGGTGAGGGCAGGCGAGGAGGCTCTCGGCAGGATCTAACGATTCCCATACCTAGCTAGACACGGGAACTGCCATTCTTACTGGGCAGAAAAAGAAGACGCAGTGAGACCCCTCGACTCGGGGGTCCGCTTCTCACGAGTACGGATACTCACCAACCATACAAATGCCATCCCTCTCTCTCCTCCCCATACGGCTTAGTGTGTCTCCTCAGCCTTGCGTCGGTTTCTCCGGGGGTGTGGCCCGGGGGTCTCAGAGAAAGAGCACGCACTCTATTCTTGGGTAAATGCTGGGTATAATACATAGGGAATTGTAGAAAGAAAAAAGGCGTCTTGTGAACCATTCCCCTCCCTTCCCTTCCCTCCCATCACCCCTCTATTCCTCAAACCCCGGACTCGCCACCCGTTGTTTCCTTCCCAATTCTGAGTCAAAAGACGAGAGGGAAACAGGCCAAGTGTGTGTGTGTGTGTGTGTGTGTGTGTCCTATCCGTCATGTCATATCTGTCGTCTTGTTCATCTTGTCATTTCCAGCATTCCAACAACCCCGATTCCCCCGCCTTTGGATTGTATCTAATAAGTCTCTTCGTTTTCGCATAGGGGCGGTATGTATCCTCCAGAACGCCGTGTATTGTCGTGTCGTCAACGGGGGCTTGCAATGTTTGCTCCTTTGTTCCCATCTTCCATCCCACCTCACCGGTCAGTCAATGTCACTCGTGCCGCCGGCGACGACTCGCGAGCATCCGAGCATGTGCTCGTCGGTGCCCCACCAAGCATCCCCCCTGTCTGTCGTTCCGCCTCACACACAGCCGCCTGGACCATCAGACGGTTCACGCCGCAACATCCTCCTCGTCGAGGGGTTCAACCCTGACGAGGATTTCCTCCAAAAGTCCTTCTAGGAAGGTGCCGACGTCCCTGCCCATACCCACTGGCTCCGCCTTGTCATAGTGGTCGATTTCTTTGCACACATGAGCGAGCTTATATACGAGCTTCCGCAGCTTCTCGTGAGCCGCCTCCGCTCGTTGCTGCTTCGGAGTCACCTGGTTCATGGCCACGGGGCTTGAAGAACCCTGTTGAGGTCGGAATGCCTGTTGCAGTCTAATTTGTCTCCTCTTTAGCGCCTCCTCGAGTGCAGGGAAAATGACATCGTTCAAGGCGTCGAGCTCCCCATTGGGATTAGACGGCGCTGGCGGAGGGAAGGATGAAGGAGCCGCAGGTTCAGGAGTAGGCATTTGCGTCTTTGACGGCAGCGCGTATGCCTTGGCCGGTGGAGGCGGCGCCTGGCCAGACGGTTGGCGATATGGCCCGCCCGGAGATTGGCTCGGTATCCTGACCGGCGCTTGTTGCGGCTGCGGGCTGCCGCGGTATGGTGGTATTTCTGGTAGAGTAATCGGTGTAAATTTGTTGTTTGGCCGAGGTCCATGAAGAGGGGGTCGCGGCGGTGTCGAATCATCAATATGTTGTAGGTCGGCGGGCTGGATCACAGGGCCTAGACTCATCAAGCCCATGTCCTTTTGCAGCTGAACCTGCAGTTCTCGGTCGTAGTCCGGAGATTGACTGACAGGGACGGCAGGTTGAATCAATCGAGTAATGGGTCGCGGTGTCTCTGGACCCCCTCCTCTTTGCAACTTCTCTGGCGACATTGGAAGAGGCACCTTGGCCGGCGCCTGGGGCGCGACTGACGGCACTGGCTTCCGTTGCGGCGATGCCTGTCGAGAGGTCCCCGTATTGGCACTGGCCGCCTTGAGGGTATCGGAAGCAATGGCGAGGTCGCGGCCAAAGTCGCGAATCTTGGTCGGACTGCTGTCTCTCGAACGCTCTCCATAGTCATCAATGCTGTCCGTAGATCTCGCGGCTCTAGCGTTGGTGGCAGACTCGTCCAGGGCACCAAGTCCGGGACGTGGAACGACACCGCCGCGATCTCCCACAAGCCTCACTGTGCCAAAATCCCACATGTCCTCGTCGACGCGCTGGCGCTCGTAGTACTCTTCACCCCCTTGATCACTCTCGTCATCGTCACCCTTGTGCGTCGCGGCCCACCGACTGTGGCGCTCGATGAGCTCGGTCAGGTAGCTCGTCTTCTTTGCGCGGCGTATAAAGGGGTGTTTGAGCAGGTCCTTGGCTGTGGGTCGGTCCTTGGGGTCCCTCTGCAAACACACCTCGATGAAATCTTTGAACGCTTTTGTAAAGTTTCCTTCCAGCCGCGGTGGAGGGTTCTTGGGGATCAGAAATAACACCTTCATGGGATGAATATCAGCATACGGTGGCTCGCCGTTGGCAAGCTCCAGCGCCGTAATACCAAGCGACCAGACGTCAGCTTTATGATCGTAGCCAGACTGCTTGATAACCTCGGGGGCCATCCAGAAAGGAGTGCCGACAAAGGTATTCTTCTTGGTCATGGTGGCCGAGAGCTGGCCCGAGACGCCAAAATCCGCAAGCTTGACCTGGCCGTTGGAGCTGAGGAGCACATTGGCAGCTGATTATGCGTGTTAGCTTCTAAGGTAGTGCCACTCTAGGGGCGCATGACAAAGTGACCAACTAACCCTTGACATCGCGGTGTAACTTCTTGTCCGTGTGCAAGTAATCGAGACCGAGGAGCAGCTCGCGAATAACGATGGCAATGTAGTCTTCGCCTATCAGGCCTGGCTTCATGAGGTCTGCGCAGCTTCCGCCTGAGCAAAACTCCATGACAATCCATAGCTCAGCCCCCTTGGCATACGAGCCGTAGTATTTCGTAACATAGGGTGACTGCAGTTCGGACAGGATGGCGATTTCCTGGATAATGTCTTCGACCTCGTCCTCGGCGCTCTCGATATCGATGATCTTGATGGCGACGGCGTGACCGGTGCGCTTGTCGACTCTGCACGAGTTGCGGTTAGTCCTCTGGTGCTCATCGCTGCTGGAGAGGGGGGCTAGATGGTACTTACCCCTTGTAGACCTTGCCAAAGCTTCCTCCGCCTAGGAAATCCAGCGTATTAGCAACATGCCGCTTCAAGCACAGAAGCAGCGCATACCAATGCAGTACTCCTTGGTGTAGAGCAGCTCAGGATCAAGCGCCTCGTTGCCCTCCTCGATATCCCTATCGCGATCACCCATGATTGCGGTCTAGCGATGCGATGCGAAGGGGTCGTTCCGGCAGAAAGGGTCGGTCGTTCAATTGACGCCGCGCAACAATGAAAGGCTTTCCCGTCGAGCACTCTCGTCCGTCGCAAAGGAGAGGATCGCGGGGTTGCGAGGGGGCCGAAAGTACGTCAGCGCAGTGCGAATCGCCGTAGTTCGGTGCTGGCGCGGCGGTGGTTCGTCTCTGCAGCCGTTAGGCAGAGAGAGATGTTCGTTTGGCAGGAAATTGACTTCTCAGGCTCGAAAGTCTCTTTTCTCCTTCGTGCTCGAGCAGCAGGCGGGCAGCTGGTTTGAAGAGGGGATCCTGGAGTTGAGGGCGAGCGAAAGGGACAGAGGCGGTGGGGGACGAGGGATGCGGCTATCGTCGAGCTGGAAGCGATTGAGGCCGGGCTGGCGGTCACAGGTGCCCCAAGAAGGATGGTCTGAGGTGGCCCAGGAGAAAGAAAGCGATCTGGTAGAAGGCGAGCGGTTAGCAGATGTGCTAGAGACAGAGTCGGCCGGAGCCTAACGGTGATTAGTTCCCAAGGGGGCGGCGTCAATCGTACGTCGGTTCTTGTCGCGTGTCTTATGTCTCGTCTCTCCTTTTCTTCAAGGTGCAGAGATAGAATGACGAGGAAAACAAGAGGGAAATGTAGGTAAGGATCAAAAAAAAAAGTTCCAGAGGTGGTGCTGAGACACTGTAGCGGGCCGCTGTAATTCGCGTTCCTCGCCAGTCGGTCGGTTGACAGAGTCAAAGCAAAGCAAATGGAGAGGGAGAAGGCAAGGTAGGGAAAGACGTCAATGCCACAGTAGCATGGAAAATCAACACACTTACGGAGTATGGATAGAGATGAGCAATCTCAACTTCTCAGGGAATGGCAAGGAAGAGCCGCGCGAAAAAAGAAAGTGTCGTGGGGTTGCGGTTGGTAAGGTACGGATACCTGTGCTTTGGTCCAAAGGAACGACGGACGGGAGTCTGATCTTTGGGCACACGAGGCAGAGTGTGGGGTAAAAAGAGACGGACCAAGCCAGACCAAGACCAAGACCAGTCTGACTCTGGGACGGTTGAAAGGCCACAAAGAAGAGGGCGGTGGCGTGGCTGTCTTTGCGTCGTCGTCGCCTTCTTCAATGTTGTCTTGGGATGTTGTAAATGTTTGGGTGTACGAAGAAGGTACCGTGTGGTGTTGGTGTTGGTGCTAGTCTGGGGCTTGGACTTTAGGGACTGTTTTAGTACCTGCTCTTGATGATCCTCTTGTCCTTGGCTTGAGGCGGGCACATACAAACGGAAGTGCGACGTTCCAGCGTAAAAAAGTCTCGAGTTCCAAGATATCCCTAAAGGCCCTGATCCGCTCGATTTCTACTACTAATTACCAATTACTAGCATATAGCGCCACTAGCTTAGCCATTACCTAGCTAGTAATTATACTACTATATTAAATAATAGGCTAGTCTTAACCGCTTAACCTTTCTAGTAACTTATATGAATATAATATTACGATTAACATATTATTATTATTGTTATTAAAAAAAAGATTTCCTATTTTTTATATTTCAAGACCTTTTCTTTAATTAAATTAACTCTTTTATAATATCGCAATTAATTTTTTAATAAGTCTAGCTAGTTTCTTAGCTAATATAATAATATAATATATAATATTAAAAATGACTAACTTATAGTTATATAATTTAAATATTAATAAGAAACTAGATCTAATATTACTGTTACGGCTAGAAAAAGCTTAACTCTATAGAAAAAGGGTTTCTATTGTTTTCATATACTAATTACATCAGCGTAGGCGACTGGCAATTAGCGATAGTCTCGAGTCGATCAGGGCCTAAGGCAGGCTGGAATAGCAGAGATGGGTGGACATGATGTGTCTATTGGATCCCCCGTTGTTTATGCCATGATCGCAAATGGTAACCGAGGGGTCGGTTCACCAGCAACCGCCGCTGTTGATGTCAATTGGAGCCTCCCGCAGGTTCCAAGGTTCCCCTCATCCCAAATATTCCCCCCTGCCATGGCCCTTGGGATGGCCCTGTCCAGTAAAAACATCAGCGGCCTCTAGCAGTCAAAACAATCCCAATACTGCGCAATGCATTATCGCCAGTCTACGTAGTAAGCGAGCGTGCACAGATCACGTCTTGCTTATCAAATGCATTGCACCTCACGAAAAGGGCTCCTTTCGAATTCCACCACTTCATCACCAACAACACCACCACCACCACCACCACCACCACCACCAGCCTCATATCGCTCAATGTTATCTGACCGAGAACCTCCCCTCCACCCTTGAGATTTGGAGCCCAACCCACCACATCCAATCACCCCTCCATTCATCTCGCATGCAGTGACACGTCCCGAACTCCCGTCCAGGAACCCGTCCGCCTTAGCCCCTCTGATTGGTTCCCCTCCAACGGCGCCACCACCGATCCAGGTGAGCCAAGCACACCCAAGATAGTTATGCTCTAGGCTAGTGAAACACCCACATCTCTCAGCCCAAGACACTCTTCGAGCTATCTTTGTTCCTTTGGCTTCTTCTGGTTGACCTTCGTGACCTTGTCATCTTGGTAGGGGTAGGCCAGTAGGCTACGGTACGTGGATACTTAGCTAGGGTAGGTAGTCAAGACTCAAGAGGCATCTGGGCCAGAAAGTTGCCGTTGATTCCGTTCAGCCTTGGACGTGGCTTGTGTGGGTACCATTAGAGGCTTGAAGATGATTGGCATTGCGTAGTTGCATGTCGAAACTCGACGTCGACCAGATGGAATCATGTCTCGAGGACTCACGATAGGGAAGACATGCACATCTAGATTTAACCTGATGGCGCGTTTTGGTACTTCATGCCGCAGCTCACACATAACATGACCGCAGTTACTGTCATTTCCCGTGTCTATTGATGCCGTCTCTGTGTTAACAAGCGTCTACCTTTGTTGGGTGGCCATCTGTGAATCATCTGGCCCGCTACTTGTCTCTGTCTGGCTTCCTTGTTCCTCGATAAACTGCATCCTTCCATGCCTGCCCTCGCCGGATATCGTGGTATGTATGAGAAGAGCCCAAACGAAAAACATTGAAACAAGGCTTCCTTCCGCCTGCCCCGTTCCAATTCTATCGGCCATGCCCAGGCCCTGCTGAAAAATGCACTTTGTTCCCTAACCGACTTTGCTCGAATCATCAGTCGCCGAGTAGACCGCACGCCAGCTCTAGTCCTCAATGAATTCAATCATAACAGTCCCGTTCTTGAGTCCGGCGTCCTTGATGGTGGTCTCCAGTTCATTACTCAAGTCCTGGCCCTGCGGCATGCGCTTCAGCTCGACCTCGATGAAATCCTTGTTCTCGATGGGATCATGCTTGAGCCACTCGTAGATGCGCCTGACGGGGTCATCCAGGTTGAATCGACGGATAACACGTCCATGGGGGTGTCGGAACTGTATCCGCGTCGTCGTTGCTGGGTTGTTCTCCGGTTCCTTGTGCGGCTTGTTGGTCGCAATCGAGGCCCAGATACTCTGCGCCACTGCCGGCTCAGCAGGAGGGGTTATGCCGCCTGCTGCCTCCTCGGCCGGGGATTGGCCCTTGCCTTGACCGCTGGATGAGTCTGACTTGGTTAGCGCATCGGGGTCGAAAACGCCAGTCTTGGGCTTGGAGCTGCTGGCGCCGCCGTTGGACGCTGCAAGACTGTTCTGCAATGCCATCTCCAGCATTTCATCCTCCGTCATTCGATCAACATCAACGGTCTTGGGGCGGGGTGCCGCTTGGTCCACCACAGGGTTCTTGCTGTTCGCCGCCAAACTGTAGCGGTCCAGGAATTCGGCCAGCTGCGCGTGGAAGTCTGATGCGCTGGGGAATGGTCTTCCACTCCATACCTTGACCTGCTCTCCTGTCCTCGGATCGATAATGGCAACGTGCGGGTAGTTGTCTGGGTTCTCGTGACCAGTGCCGTGGAAGTAGAAGTTGATGTACTGCTGTGCCGCCATGGCGTCCTTGTCGTACTGCAGGAAGATGAAGGCATCATCCAACAGTCGTCGAATAGCCGCATCCTTCCAGATATCCCGATTCAAGGCTTGGCAGTTGAAGTCGCTCATATCCTGGAGGTTAACGAGGATCCACTTCTTTTCGTCCTTGCCCTCCTGCCTCGCCTCGTCCCACTCCAATCTGGACATGATGTCGTAGGGCGGCCGGAAAAGCTCTGCCAATCTCTGGGCTCGCGTGCCACCTTCCGTCGCAGCGGGTTGCGCGGGCTGGGCTGCAGCTGGGCTGTCATCATCCCAAATAGACAGGTTATGAGCAAAGGGGTTTCCACCACCAGCTGATGTCCAACAAGTTAGCATGGCGATTCCAAAGGAGCAGACTTGACCCAGCGCATACCTCGAGCTGCTCTGGCGGCATCTCTCTGTCGCATTTGTGCCCGGATGATGGTATCCATGTCCATACCATCGTCACCATCGTAGCCTCCGACCAGAGTCTCGGTGGTTCTGGCGATAGGTGATCTCACATCATCCTGACCGCCGATTCCAGCGCCGCCACCACCACCACCTCCTCCAGGTCCGCCACCGTAGAGTTCCTCTTGTAATCTCTTAGCCATGGCGGCGTCCTCTTCCTCTTGGGCACTTCGGGCAATGGCCGCCACCTGTTCGTTTGCCGCAATATCAGAGTCGTCGTGTCCAAAGTTGTCGTCCATATCGTCCACCGTCATGGCAGTATCGCCATCGTCATCACTATCTATGTGAATGACCCCGCGCTCGTCCTGCCGTCCAATGTTCGGTCGGGTGTTCGAGGGCACTGGGGGGGCTGTCGAAGAGGTGGCAGCTGGCTGGTTGAAGCTGCTCTGAATGTCTGGGTTCTCAAAGAAAAGCTGAATGGCCTGCTCGAGGTTGTTGTTGGTCATCTCCAGGAAGCCGCGAGCGGCCTCCGGACTGGCTGCCGTGATGGCGACGAAGTTGGAAATATCCTCGTCCATGGTGAAGGTCCGCGCTTGCCGTTGTTGAGGTAGCTGAAGAGGAAAATTTATGGTTTCGTGAAATATCCTCCTGCACTTGGTACCGACCAGAAATCAGTCAAAGGATATCTTTTTCTCTGGTGGCGGTCAGAAGAGTGAATGTAAAAGGGTCGCTGGAGGTGGGAGACGGAAGGCACCTCTGCCCCACCTTGAACCGAAGGTACTGGAGTCTGTCTGGCACGGGGCGGAGGGGTAGCTGCAGGTCACCGTCGGGCGCGTTGTTTTCTTGGGTCCAAATTGTCTGGCCCCGTCAAGTGAAGAGTTCCAAGGCGGTTTCCAAACAGGCAGCGTGAAAGAAAGTCGATAGCTTCAGGTTCAGCTTCTTGTTGGGAAAAAAGCAAGGCTGGGTTTGGTTGGTTTGCGCCGCCACTGATCTGAGGACGGGATGGTGTTGCGGGCTTGTCCCGGCGCGTGTGAGTTACCTTACTGAGTGCAGGTGTGGGTGGAAGCGCAGGGCAGGTGCTGCTATCGGGCCAGTGCCACCCTCAAGGCGTCCAACTCTGTGACGCAACCGCCGGTCGGGCCTCGGAAGGTCCACCCATCCTTCCTGCCCTGGGCTGTCTCGGAGAAATGGCAGAATGTTGTTGCGATGAGGTGATTTGCTGCGCCACGGCCACAAAGGTCCTCATTGAATATGTGGCTGACTTTGTGGCTTCAGTCCAGCCACACTCCAAAAATGGTCCAGCCTGAATCTTCACTTATCTCTTTTGGCCCCAAGCGAATGATTCATTGGGGCAACATCATTCTGTGTCCAAGCTCAATCCCATTGAGACTCGGGGCTCATAAGTCTACTATATCAAGGACTATAGAACTGTGTGAGTAGCAACTAATGAGAGATTCACTCATTGCATTCTCAGACGATACTGAACCTTGAGGCTTGGCCAATATGATCAACTCGCCGCAGCAAAGCATGCATCGCCTAGCTTGTTACTGGTTCTAAGTCCTCTGTCTCATTCCGAATTCGAAATCGATTCCAAACAGTGATGACGGGACCTGTGCTAGGAAAATTACTACCTACAGAGACGCCTCTGTCTGAAAGGCCCATACTCTGGAGTGACCGGAGTCCATCAAACTATTTATACGTTCCTGGCTGGCGAAGTCTGTGATGCCAGCACACGACTCGAGTGAGAGTCCTCGAGGCTTCGAGACAAGAACGGAAGTCGATACGTATCACCAGGGTGGGACTCTGGGCTGGTGTCAGTCATCTATATTGGTGTCCTAGTGTCTAGGTAAAATATGCAAACCAAAGCATCTCTCTAGGTCTCACCTCTTCCCAGTATCTCCCGTGTGTACGGCTAGGAATACTTCTAGCGAGATCAATGACACTTTAAAAGGGAGGCCACGGTCATTGAAACAGTCATTCAAGTAAAGAGCAAGTTCTAATATAGGGGTATCAACACCCCGCGAGCCATATCCTGCCGCAGCGCGGCCAAAAACATCCATCTCCCCTGGAGAAGTACAGGCCCTTCCCCTACTTCTCCAACTCCGCGAGGATCTCCTTGAGGTGTTTCTGCACCTCAAGGGACCTCTCCGCGGCCAAAGCCTTCTTCACCATCTCCACAAACCCCCTTCTCTCCTCCGCTGCCGCCGCTCCCTCCCCAAACACCCCGCGCTGGATGGCCTTGAATACCCCGCCAATGGCGAGGACCCGCATCGTACGCTGGGCCTCGGTGCCGTTGTCGACGGACTCGGGGTCCAGGCTGCGGAGGTACGCAAGGGCGACCTCCTTCCCGTTGCCAGCAGGAGCGCCAGGGGCGGGCGCAGCTTCCATCAGGTCCTTGACACACTCGTACCACACCTCCCGCTTGATACCCTCGAACTTGGCGTTATCCAGGTACGTCTTGAGCAGCTCAAAGACCTTCTTGAGCACGGCGCTGGGGTTCTCCTTGATCTGCTTGCGGTTGTAGCCGCGCGCGACGGTCTCGATACCATTGACGGCCGCCTTACGTGTCGCGTCGCCGGAGCTGTCAACGTCCATCCGGTTCTCGTCGATAAAGTCGTCCAGAGGTCCGCTGACTATGGCAGAGATTGTCTCGAGAAGATCCAGGTCGTCGCGCTGCTCTGCGAACTGCCAGAGGGCCTTGAAGGCATGCGGGCGGTAGTCCTCGTTATTCCTCTTGGCCTCGCGGATTGCGATCTTCTGCTGCTGTGCAGCGACGGCTGAGTCATTCTGCCAGAGAGCCTTACCCTTTCCGACGAACTGGGGGAAGGACTCGAGAACCTTCTCCTTTCCGGGGAAGGTCTTGAGCGCGAGCGCCTTATCGAGGACGGGCCAGATGAGCTTCAGGTTGGCCTCGGACATTTGTCCGCCGGTGGCATCGCTGGAGGCGACGACGGCCTTGATCATGCTCGCGATGCTGAAGGCGGCGGTGTGCTGAAGGTTCCATCGCGGCGCCTCGAGACCTCTCTTGATGAAGCCCACAATCTCGGGGACGTAGCGCGCAACGGTGCGGGAGCTGCCGCCATGCTGGTTCCAGACTTCGTCGAAGCACTTTCGGGTGTACTCGTCGGTGTCATGCATACCCATGTAGGTGAACGGGATGAACTTGGCAGCCAAGGCGTTGAAGTGGTCGGGGGCCAGCTTGGACACGCCGAGAACGACGTCAGACACCTTGGCACGGCGGGCCTCGTCTTCGCTAGCGAAGTAGAACTCGGTAAACTTATCGACAAGACGCTCCTTGGATGCATCGGGGACGATCCGCATAAGGTATCCGGCGGCTCTGGCGTAGCCCTTGCTGACTTCGTCGTTGCGGTCGAGAGCCTGCTTCTCCATGATCTGCATAAACTTGGGCGAGACCAGCTTGAAGTCCACAGCGTGGCGCATAACTAGGTCGCCGATCAGTCTAGCACACGCGATCTTGGTCGGCATCCCAATGGCGGTCTTGATGATCTCCTCGAGCTTCGGCGCAAGTTGCTTCATCCCATCGGCGTCCAGCTGACGAAGGCAGTTGTCAATGGCTTCGGAGATTGGTGATTGGTTGACCCATCGAGCTCTAAGCTTGTCAAGCTGGTCGCGGGAGTCCTCGCTGACCTTCTGGTAGGCGTAGTTGATCTGCTCTGGCTCGATTGTGCTATGAAGACCCAGGAGCGGAGGGATGAAGTCGACGATGAAGGGCTTCAGGTTGGGACCACCCTTCTTGGTGATGTCGATGATCGTCTTGAGCGAGAACATCTTGACATCCTCGACACCACTCTCGAGACCGCTGGGGGAGAGAAGGAAACGAAGCGCTTGTTTGAGCATAGCCTGTGCTGATGACGAAGATCCGCCCTCTTCGAGTTGACGGACAATGGTGTTGGTCAGACCCATGCACAACTTCAGGGCCGATTCTCTGACAGATCCCTTGACATCGTCGAGAACCTTCAGTGCCGCAGTCCAGATCTCGGCATAGTACTTCTCATACTTGTGGAAGGGCTGTCCAGAAATCAGATCGGAGATGGCACCACAGCTAGCCTGTCGAACGCGCCACTCTTTGCCAAGGACATTCTTCAGCAGGTCTTGCATGATGGCATCAAAGTGCTCGCCAATCGTCTCGTTCGGATTCTTGACCAACGCCTTCCAGATATCATCCATTGATCGCTGAACGTTGGAGTTCGGGTCGAAGCGGTATCGGAATAGCTTGGGGTAAAGCTTCGGGTCGACTTCCGACTCGGAGAGGATATTGCTGAGACCAAAGCGGCCAAAGGCGGATCGCGTGGACCAGGTCGCGGCGTTGGTCGCGAGCGACATGAACTTGTAGACGAGGCTCTGGTCTCCGACTTCGTTTGCCAGGCTGACAATGTCCTTGTACGACGTGACCGACTTGCCTTCGCCAGTAGGCAGAGCGCCGGGCTCAAAAAGCTCCGTCTCGTCCTCGACCTTGATCTGCGTCGTGTTTCCGGTAAAGGCCGACACCAAATCCTTGACCAGATCCTGCTTCAATCCTTCGTCTCCCTTCTCGTACACCAGGGACAGGCCACGAGAGGCCGTCTCCTGCACCAACTCGTCGCGCGCACTCAGCAGTCTCATGAAGGCGGCCTGGGCCTCTCGGAGACGGGACTGGACCTCATCGAGATGTCCGCAGTACTGGACGACGCAGAAGAGCCAGATTCCAGAGGCCTTGAGCAAGCTAGGCTTAGTCGTCTTGCAGTCGCGGAAGAGCTTGTCGAGCACGGCGGTAATTCTCTGGCTGCGCTTGCCCTTTCTCCAGGGACCATCGGTGCAGTCGACATTCATGGAAAGCTTGACAAAGTCGGATTCCCAGCAGGCAATGGCGGCAGTGATGGCCTCGCCGACGGTGAACTGTATCTCTGTCTCCTTTCTGGAATGAAGTCCGAAAAGGCTCTTGAGCACGCTGTCGATGCCTGAAGTCTTGCTAGACGGGTACAACAGGCCGTCCTCGGGGGTGGCCTCTTCGTTCGGCTCGTTGAACGCCAAGGCAAGGCGACCGAGTGCAAAGATGGACTTGTCGCTTCCAGCGTTTGCATTCTCCGTGAGTCTCTCAATCACATAGTCCGCCGTAAGGTTGTTAACGTTGTCCGGAATGTACTGAGAGAGTCCCGCGGTCCAGAGCTCTCCGTAGCATTCAAGAATAGCATTCTCCAACGTCGGGCCGTGGCGCGATTTGTCCATGAGCATCTTTGCCGGCAGATGAACGTCGATCGGGATCGGAAGACCGTAGTACACGGCTCTCGAAAAGATGTGGCCGAATGCCTGTAGGGCGCCTTCGACGCCGTTGGCGACCGCTCCTACGTGCTTGTCCCATCCCCAAATCATCGCCTTGAGATCTCTCAGGAATTTCTGGATGTTCTCGTTCCTCGTCTGATGGGGGACTGCCTCGGGAATCGCCAAGTCCACCTTGTTAAGGGGGTGAGGAAGAAGAATTCCGACAGCTTGCGCGGCGGCAGCACGGGTGTGGCGGTTGTTGGATGCGATGCACTTCTGCAGGACGTATGCCGAGGGGGCGATGTAGTTGATCGTTCCAGCGGGGGCGAGTGACGCGACATCAACCATGGACTTCAGGCAGCTCTCAACGACACGATCGGTTCCGTCCAGGTTCTTCAGGTGGCGAACACCATCGAAGCAGATCTTGATGAAGAGACCAA